AATAAATTTGGAGTTGTTACTGAAAGTTGAACCTTTAGGAAAGAATGTGGTTTCCAGGGATGCTCCCAGGCCTGACTGGTGGGCTGGCTCTGGGTCAGTGGAGCTGCAGCGGGAACCAGCAGGTGCAAGGCCTGAAGAGAAGCAGTTCTCAGGAGAAGCAAGTCCTGGGGATGTAAAACGTGGCATGAGAGATAGGGCAAATAAAGACAGGGGAAATGCTGTGTGGAATGGTCATGTACTCTAAGGAAGGTGGATTTCATAGTGCATTAGGGTTAGAAGCTAAGAGCCAGATCAAAGAATTTAGGAGAAAGCAGTGGTAACTAATATGCCGATAAAGGCTGTAGAAAATTCTGTGAAGTAATAACCATGTATGTTTTGCAATAATAATCCTCCCAAGTGGAATGAAATCCCCAGCAACACTTCAGAGCAATGAGTAAGAGGTCCTGCTATTTGCCACGCTGCAGTAATGACTTGCTTCAGCAAGACTATATCAGCAGAAGTCATCAATGTCATTCTAAAGAAGACTCTTACTAAAGCCTGGACTTGTGGTTCAATAGTAGAGCACTTGCCTAGTATACATAAGGCCCTAGGATGAATGCCTGACACACAAAACAAAACAGAATGCAATAGTGTCTAAACTAGAAACAACACGTAACTATCTTTGTAATTGCTCTGTGCAAGCCCTGGGTTCAGTCTCCACCACTACATACATAACACCTATGTCTTAGCATTTCTATTGCTGTGAAGCAACACTAAGACCACAGCAACTCTTATAAGGGAACACGTTTCATTGGGGCTGGATTACAGTTTCAGAGATTCAGTCCATTATCGTCCTGGCAGGACATGGTGGCATGCAGACAGACACGGTGCTGCAGAAGGAGCTGGGAGTTCTGCATCTTGATCTGCAGCCAACAGGAAGTAAACTGACTCCCACTCTGGGCATCACTTGAGCAAAGGAGACCTCAAAGCCCACCCCCACAGTGACACACTTCCTCCAACAAGACCACATCTACTACAACAAGGCCACATCTCCTCATAGCGCCACTCCCTTTCAGGGCTGTTTTATTTCATAGATCCACAACCAGCAACTGGGGTGCAAGCCTGTAACCCCAGCACCTGGGGAGTGAAGGTAGGAGGTTCTCATAATCAGGGTAATGCTTAGCTACATTTCAGTTTTGAGGTCAGCCTAGAATATATGAAAACCTGCCTAAGGAAGAAAAGGAGGGAGGGAGGGAGGGAGGAAGGGAGGGAGGGAGAGAAAGAGAGAATGAATGAATCTGAGCCAATCTAGTAAGACTCCTTCCAACAAATAATGATTCCATCATTTAATTATTTAGTTCATAACAGTTTTGTAGCTCTTCAATAATTGTCTACAGCCTCTAGTTGACTTGACTAAAATGCAATGAATATTACATTTAAAAATAATTTCCCACCATTTTTCTTTTAAGAAACTATGCTTGTCATCAGAATTCAAACAACTGTTTGAAATCCTGAAATACCTCTGTGCTTTTCAAGACCACACTTCATAAAGGGCATTTACTCTACAGAATTAAAGTTTACTGAATAACAAACCTAACGTTAACTGACACATGCTCTCAAAAGCCTTGAATGTCCAAGTCAAAGCTAACTGTGGTTTTTGCTACTCTGGGAAAGGAAAAGAAGAAAATGAATATGATAAAGTAAAGGCAATGTCACCCTTTCAATTTCTTCATTTTTGTCTATTTGCCATAATAGCAATTTAAATATCCTCAAATATTAAGGATTTCTGCTTCTATGTGAAAGTATAAAAAGTGAATACATTCACACACGATATGAATTAACAGAGACCAAAGCATCTTATTTGTAGCAAATTTTATTTTCAAATATCCATAAAAGCTATCCAGGTACTCTTCAGAGTAATTTATGAGAACATGCACAGTGTAAACAGAAAAAGTCCAAAGGAAAGAAACATTCCTGATGCTTCTAACAAGCGACCCGAAGGGACACAGAAACAGATACCAGAACTTTCTATCCATGGCTGATGCCTGAATCTTTATCCTTGCCTGTTTCTTGTCGCTTCAGCACAGGATAAAATGCAATGCAGAGAAGCAAAACTTGCCAATGGGATACACATTTTTCGGGTGGTTACTTTTTGTGTTGTTGCTGCTATTCACAGAGAAATGTATTAAGCAGGGGATGCTGTCTGATTTGAAACATTTATTTTGCAACACAGTTAACAAGGAAATAAGTCCTTGCGATCATATTACTTCTTCTTACATCCTATTCAGAGACTTCCTTGAGCATCCAGCACAGATCTGAACTGTTTCTTTTTGCTGTGAAATCCAGGAAAATAAAATGGGAATGGTCTCGGGAAGCATTAAAAAGAGTATTTTAACTTGGGATTTCATTTTGAAAATAAGGGAAATCATACTAATTTGAAAGGTATTACAAAGACAAAATAGGTATGACCCAAAGAGACACAAATCAATAGCAAAATCTAAAGAGACTTTTCAAATTTTTGACATTGTCTGTTAAGCAAAGAATTTCACATCAGAGGTTTATTGTTTGGTCACTGTATTTCAGTTGTCTTCAGAACTGACTGCTCATTACTAGAAATAGAAAATAGATTCATCCGCAAGGCCAGTACAGGCCTTCTCTATATGCAGTTTCAAAGGAAATACAACATTATTTATTTAGTCCAGACGAAACCCCAGTATTCTTATTGTCCCCTGATGGCTAATGGCCATAAAGTATAAAAGGTGTTGTATCTCTTTGAGAGTTCATAATCTTCCTGCAAGTGAGGCTACTGTGCTGGCAATACTGTTTAAAGGAAAATAACAAAACTCTATTCAAAACTTTGTGTTCTTGTAACAGCATTATCTCTTGAATCTCCTTAAAATTCTAAAATGATAGAATGCCACACTTTTGTCCCGGTAACTTCCCATTCCTCATGCTTCACACCACATGACAAAAGGAAATGATGCCATCTTATGTGTGGCTAATACATGAGCTTTCACTCTGAAAACTGTACCGCAAATTCTCCTGGGCTTCTGCTGAGTAAAGCTATCGGCATTATTAGGTAATGAAAATCAGCAAGGCTTTAAGAGCTGTGTGCTTTGGTTTCTGTGTTATGAAGTTTTACTCTATTTGAAGTATCAAAAGGCTACCTACTATGTTAAGTCCGTATTACAATGGTATTCAAACAAAGTTCACAGATACTGTCGGTAAGAGTTTTTGTTCCTAGGATCAGTTTGCCAGGAGTTAGACTCGTCTAGGCATTTGGGGAGGTAGAAGCTATAAAATTTGGTGCCCTGCGCCCATCTACAATGTCCTCGGTCTTCTAATCTGTGCCAAACAATAAATGTGCAGTTGCCCAGACATAGGAAAGTGTGCTAGACCTTCCAAGCCTACATCACATGTTTTTTTTTTTTTTACTTCCCACTCATGTAATTAGTGTTCTTTTCCTCTTTTTTTTTTTTTTTTTTTTTTTTTTTTTTTTAAAAAGTGCCTGTTTCAAATTTGTATTATTTTTTTCAGATGTCTAATTTCAGCTACCTTCTTCCTCTCTTTGGTGTCTTCCCGCATTTCAAATACCAGACAAATAATTAAAAGTCTGCAAAAAAAAAAAAAAAAAAGAAAAGAAAAGAAAAAAAAAAACAGGCAAACTTCCAAAATATTTCAAAGTGAAACTGCGGTAGGTGTGGTGTCAGAAGAGGAAAGGAAGGCAAAGCCAAAGGACCAAGATTCCAACACACTGGCTGAAAACATGCTGGAAACATCCATTCAGGTTGCTAGCGCTATGGATGAGATTTCAATGGGGCCAAAACATCCAAGTGACTGACAAAAACCAACGTGTTCCGTGATCATTCAAAGCAGTTAACTTGTTTTGGTGTGTTTGGGGTGCATTGTTAGTTTAGTCGGTACCTGTCCTTTAATCAATGTCCTTCCTTGTTTAGCATTTGGGAAATGAAAGCGTTTGAGGAAACATTTAAAGTTCTGAGGATAAATATAAGTGAGATTTTTTTTTTAATGTCCATCATTTGTAAAACTTACATCCTTTACACAGGGTTTATTTGTACATAATAAAAATTTCACAAGGAAATTTTCCTGGAAAGTGTTCCATATGCTAATTTGTTTAACGTGTGCTTTGGCTATAGAGCTAAGTAAGAGAGGCTTTACAAAACTCTTCAAGTATTCCCTTTAACCATGAAAAAAAACCTTATTCCTAAATATTTCTTAATCTTCCCCACTGGTCCTTCGTTTCTGGTAGCTTGTGCAACCTGAACTACTCAAAGTACCAATGTCAGAGTTCAGAATATACTCGCATACTTCAATAAATTTGCTCATTGCATAGTGAACATGTAAACATGTTACCCTAGAATCTAGAAAAGTTTGCTGAAATTTTACATAGTAATTTATTCTGGAGTTTTATTTTGCTGTCATTTTGGGGCTTACTATTTTATTTTCATCATGTGTCAACTGAATACAACAAATGAAAATAAGCCATAAAAGTTAAAATCAAACTAAATAATTTCATCTAACTTTCTAGTCTGCCCCCCCACTCCCCACCCCCACTCCCCACTTTGGGCATAACCACACTGCAAGTGTGCTATCCTGACTCTTTAAGACAGTGCTCAAAAATTAATTTCAACAATGTGTGCTTAACATAAAGTTAACTATGTTTGCATCAGATAAAATGTTTATTAATGAAATCTATTTATCATACAGGAAACAGCAAAGTCATCATTACAGAGATGTACACTAGAGGTGACGGATTCGAAAGTGCATGCACAGCCTTCTGTTTAGAAAGGAAGTATAGACAATCGCACTAAAATCACCGGGTCCGGTGCCTGTGCTCCTGTCACTGATTGAAAGTTATTCTTTGAATTTACAATTAGAAAATGACATTAAGTACACATTAGCAAGCAGGTGAAATGGATAGTTTGTTTTTTTTTTTTTTTTTTTTTTTTTTCTTTTTTTTTTTTTTTTTTTTTTTTTTTTTTTTTTTTTGGTCTTTTATTTTACAGTTACTGTGCTTGACAAATGTGTGCAATTGTTTCAATAATAGTTTTCTCCAAATGTAGGGAGGGCGTATTATTGCCAGGTTGCTCTGGTTCTCTACATGGTTTATCTCGCTTTTTTTATTAAACCACGTGGTGTTATGCTTTCATTTGTGCCAGACATCATAAAGAACAGAGGTTTGGTTAACATTCAATAAATGACACAAGTCACTCTCTCTCTCTCTCTCTCTCTCTCTCTCTTTCTTTTGGTTGAATAAACTTTTAAATGTATGATTATCATAACCTAATAGTGTCTTTGTCTTCACTGCAGTGGATTTCCGATCAAACTTTTCCCCTTCTTTTAATACTTTAGGGAATTTTCAAACGTCGGGATGTTTGGCTGTAATGCCCCAAGATTTGTTCTCCCTGAAAAAAAATCATAGTGACAATTTATTAACTACAGAGCAACTTGGCTTTTAGGGGTCTGCAATTTCTATTTAGATTTACAAATATCCTACCCACTTGTGCTCAACAGACCTGATATTAAATCTTAATCATCTTTAAGGTTTCTTTTCATGCAACTACAGATCTGCTACTTTATTTTTATTCTAAAAATTGAACTGAGTCAAATCAGTGGGGCATGACTTTTATTATAAACAAGAATATTTAATGGTAATTCGAGATTTAATCACATTTTATATACAATGGTGTGTGTATTTAATATGAATCAGAAGTTTGGAAGCCTAAGAACCATTTCTCTTTGAATTTTTTTAATTTTGCTGCTGTTTCTTAGCTTTTACAGACAGATATTGAAAATATACTAATACAAGTAAAACTGATGGGAAATAAAACTCCTTAGATTCAAAATGTTTTATTCACACAAATTTAATAGGATATATCACAATTGTTTGGTCCATAAATATTTAGGGGAAATAGTTTCTATACAATGCATTTATCAATAAACAAAGGAACATGGACAATTTTGCTAGACCACTTACTGTACTATAAACACGAAGGTCAATATATAGGATTATTGAATTTATCAACTATATTTGAAGGAGTGCACAACTGCTTTCTATGACATGTTTGTCCCCTCTAACAGGATACACCATAAAAAGAGTTTCAGAAATAAGAGGTAAGACAGTACAAAACTAGCGAGGTGTCAAAAGGGCTTAAAACAGTTAATTTAACAGACAACACATATATCCTGATTTTTCACAAACTTATTTCCAAGTTATATCATAAGGCACATAGGAGAACTGAGTTATAATTAGTCTACTTAATAAAGTAGATCTGTAGTACCATTTATTGTTCTGTCAAAGAACAAAATTTCTAAGTATCGATATTTTACCTGTAAAAGTGTGTTAATAAGATCTCAGCCTTAACAAGGTTGTTTGGTCTGGTTAGTGGTAAATGCCCAAAATGTTAAGAGAAATATGAAAAGTCAAGATTTAAGCTCCATAGAAGATGACCACACTTGCTAAATATATAATGGCAATCACACTTTTCTTCTGTTACAGTGTTAACTTCTCTCCCATCATCTTTTTTTTTAAAAAATAAGCTACTTTCTGTGCTAATTTTCTAAAGACCCTGAGCAAAAGTTACAATAATGCACTTTAATGTGGGCAGTGAACTGTCGATATGTAACCACACATTTATACAGCCAGAAGGGCACGTTTAAAATCTATTAAATAGCCACTTCGACCACCAGAGGAGATTGAAGGGGTGCAAAAAAGTGGACAGTATGTGCAAAGTCATTCTTTAACAATCCACTAAAGCAAGACATAGATCTTGACTTCTTTATTATTTTAGGAAATCCACAATCTATTTGTTTTGTTTTGTTGTTTTTCTTTTTTTTTAACTACAACAGAAGCAGATAGTTGAACATTCACCACTGCCCAGACCATTAAGATTTCATCTTAAATTAAAAGGAAAAAAAAAAAAACCTGCTGTAAACTAGGAAATATATTCAGATGAGCATCCACTAGGCTTCTGAGTTTATCTACTTTAAGATTCATAACTTCACATCTGTAATATTAAAAAGACTTTTATACATAAATCAACCCGTGCCAAAATAAAATAAAGAAAAACCAAGTAATTCTCATTGTTGGTATTAGTTTACTAAGTTGCTTAAAAACAAAACAAAACAAAAAAAGGACATTATGTAGAATGGCAGATACAATATCATGGTACAGCTGGAGCCAATAATTATTAATTATATTATGCCAATTTTTTTACTTCTTAAAAAATTGTATTTTGCTTATTTCCATTTCTCTAGGGGGGAAAAACAGTTTAAATTTAAAAAAAAAAAATAACAGTTTCAGACACTGGCTAAAAAGCATATTCTCTTTCTCACTTTTTTTTTTTTTAAATGTAGGAGGCCAAAATACAAAATCCCATATTTTAAATGTAATTTCCATGGATGCACAAGAAGTTTAAATTTTGGTTTTTGTTTTTAATTTGAAAAACAGTAAAAAGTGGTGTGGGGGGTGTAAACCCCTAACAGCAGGAAAAGTTACATTCCTGAGCTAGACTTCCCACCCAGTTAACCTTTGCTATTTAAAATTTATGTTAATGTTTCCTTTAATCATATCCCTCACTTGAATTAATAGTTCAGGTTAAAAGAAAAAAAAAACAGTAACAGTACTTTTGTTTTTAATTTTTTAATAAGAAAATTTTAAATTGTAAGATTTAAAAAAACAATCAACAGTGTCTGATTCATTAATAACTTGATCACAGAAACGGGAATATGATTTGCCCATCATTATACCATCCATTTTTATCCCTTTGAAATTCTGGAAATAAGTAACATACAATTTTAAGAGGCACTTGATAGAATGATTCAAAATCTCCCCCTACCAACTGAGAAAAAACGAGAAAAAACAAAACAAAACAAAACAAAAAATAACCTGATTAAAGAAAAAAGATCTAATACACCTTGTAGACAAAATACGTTCACTTAAAAGCAATAACACTGTAAACTCATAGCCAAGTGGTGTAGATGCTACACACCAAGCTGCTATTTTATTTATTCCCCCAGATATCTCGTGGGTTAGGAGAAGGGAAAAAAAAAGTCTGGTAAATAATAAAATAATAATATTAGAATAATAACAAAAAGAGGAAGAATCCTTTAAAAATAAAAAAATTAAAAAGAAAAAGAAAAAAAACCAATGTTAGAAAAGGTTCGTTAAGGTAGTTTGTGAGGGGCTTCCCGATTCGTGGCTGTCCATGTTAGAGGTCACAGACGTCACTACAGTAACAGTGGGATTGGTCAGGTCTGTTAAAGTGGTCGCAGTGCCGGGTGGAGAGAGAGCGCCGCTGTCTGCTGAGGGCGGGGCCGGAAGCGACGTGCCGTCAGCTTTATCGACACCCCCAGTCTCCTGCCGCAAAAGGTTCCTTCTGAATTTGGCTCGTGCGTTTTGGAACCAAACCTGCAAACCAATCCCAATTGATTTCTTTATCGATTTTTTTTTTTTAAGTTCTTTTCTCTCTCTTCCTTTTTTCCTCTTTATTTTTTTTTTTCCTTTTTCCTTCTCTTTCCTCTATTTCTCTTTTAAAAAAATATCATTTTTTTTTTCTTGGAAAGAAAATGGTCTTTTTTCTACTTCTTTCAAAATAGACAAAATGCATGTAATAAGAATTATTCTCTCTTAACTCTACATATATTCCTGCATTAAATGTGTCACTTGGGAGTAACTGTTGCTGAAGCAGAGAAAACATGAAAATAAAGTCATGGGGGCTAGGGAAAATAACGCCATCCCTCAAAAGAGCAGGGGAGGATGGGGGTGTCTCAGAGTAGGGGCTACTCACACGAAGGAACACCAGCAGATGTTAAAGCTGTTTGCTACCCTGACGCTTGACAAATGGCTTCTACTACAGACAGTAATATTCTTCCCAGATGCAGACCCCCAAACAGCCAGAGAACAGAAAATATCTGCCACTTGTCATTGAGGCGGGGACAGATCACAGGTCACTCACAGCAACCTTGGGTCGTTTTGTAACCCTTACTCTAAGTCTCGGGGAACAATCCAACACCCGGAAAGAACTCTGGATTCGTGACAACAGCTCGGAAAAATGGAAAACTTCTTGATCCAACTGCTTGCTGAGATATCAACCTTACCTTGGACTATTCAAGAGCTGGGGGCGGGCCACCTGGATTTGGAAGGTCCCCACATGAGTGGGATGCCGAAAGTTTGTAGACACGGGACACCAGATGCTTAGAAACTTAGTACACTAAACCCCATGTGAGTGGACTTCTCTACAGGCAACACTCGTTTAAATAAAACCAATGCCACATACACAGCAATGGAGCTTGGGAGCCCAACTCTCCATCCTTAGGGAGAGTGTGAATCCTGGATGCCTCCTTGAGTACCCTCCAGGAAGCCCCTGTAGGAAGATAACTACGGAAGGAGACTGCTAGGAAGCAGAATAGGAAACCTCCATCTCCAGGTGGTTAGGGAAGAGAACTAAGTAAGTCACCGTCGAGGGGGATGGGAAGAGACAAAGCCATCTATGGACATGTCTTACCTGCAAAACTCTTTTGGTCAGGCCTGTTTTCTGAGCAAGCTGTTTGAGGTCCTTGGCATCCGGGTTGTGGTTGATGGCAAAGTAGGATTTCATGGTCCGGAGCTGGTGATGCTTGAAGGAAGTCCGCATGCGTTTGGTCTTCTGTGAAGGTGGATAAGGCTGCTGGTCCCGGTCCAAGTGATCTGCCTCGTTCTCATTACAACCTGTTGCGCCAACAGTGAACAAACAGCTTCTCAGTGGAAACTTCTACATTAGCTTAAACGACGGTAGGGTGTGTGATAAAAGGCTGTGAACCCAATGGTGAGTGATAGTCTAATCAAGAAGGCAATGGTTACAGTCAGCTGACCTGGGCTATTTGGATACAGCTGGTTTCCATTAATAGAAGATATAAGCTAAGACCTTTTCTCTCTGCTTGATGCTCCAGGAAATGAAGGGAGTAACAGTGGCCTCAGAAGAAGAGGGGGAAAAAAGACAAAGAATAAACAGAAGCCCATTGCTGATGGCTTATGTGGATCTGTGGACCTGCACCCAGGTGTCCATGCGCACACGGTCTTGGTGACATTTTGAATGTTTCTGGATCACCATGTACTGTGTCAAGGCACTGTTCTTTGTCATGAGGAATGTGGAAAACATGTATGACAGGTCTCAAGTTTCAAGTTATCCAACAGCACAGTGCATGTACACAGAAGGGGGCGGAGAGAGAGAAAGACAGGAAACTAAGGCATAATCTAAAGCTATTCTTGCATCTGTGGGGCTTTCTCAAGCAGGAAAAAGAATGTGGTTGGAAAATGACGAGGCACGAGAAAATGACGTGTGTTTTTGAATGTCTTAGAGAATCATAGGAACACTGTATTTGAAGAGTTTCAGCTATAACTGGTTAGCTTGAGCTCTGCTTGGAGTTGTTCTAATAAATATTCCTGAAGGAAAATGATACCAGCCTTCTCATTCACTCATGCCTGAAGCACTCCCCACAGCTCACTGTTGAGACAAGCAGAGACTACCCAGTTTGGTCCCCTGTGTGGTGGATGTGTGAGTCAGGCAGGAGCTGTGTCGTAAGAGGGAAGGCAGTATCTTCTCAGCTCTTGCAAAACCCTCCTCGGTACCAAGGACAAGAGGAGTCAGTCTTTTAACTAGTGAAAAGTCTTCATCCTCGAGGTATAAAAAGTTCATCATATTTAAAGCCATTTCCTGGCTCTGCACAAGACATGACGACAATACGAAAACATTTTACTAAACACTAACTTGCTCCCCTCTGCAATTCAGGGACATAGCTGTCTTTGGTTCTTTAGACCCGAATTTCATATATTCACCTGATGTATTTATTTTCCCATCTGGCCATCCTGTGCTACTTACTGTGTGCTATTTAAAACCGACTTGATCATGTCATTCTGAAGGAAAAGCTTGAATCTTGAAAGAAGTGAGACATCTCTTAATGTTTCCCCTCTCTTGCCTGGCTCTGGTTAGAATTTCAGATTTTTTTCCCCTCTTTTTTAGCAAATCAGTATGTGGATACCCATATATGTGCTCAGAAATCAGCATATATGCAATTTTGTGGTCATCAATCAGGACACCTACTGCGAGCAAAACTCATTTAATGAGAAATGATCCTAAATATAATAAAATGAAGAACTATGAAGTTTTGTGTATCCTAACAGACAAAAGAGCAGGTGTCTGGGAGTTCTCTGGGGGAAAGGGCTGTTATCATATCCTCCTTCGGATTTCCCAAGTCAAAAACAAGGCCATAAACTCAACAAGTATGCTCTTGAAGCCTTTTGTCCACTAGGAAAATTAGAAGTGCCTATTAATACAAAGTCAAATGGGACTTGGGATGGTGCCCAAGTCAGATATATACTGTCAAACTTTGATTTTAAGCTGCTGAGCCTGCTAGAATGGAAACATATACCCACAGATAACAGAGAGAATGTATTTACATTTTCCCCTAATTCATCCCAGTGGGGGGGGGGGATATGTCAACTTCAAATAGTCTGCAGAATAGGGTTTCCAGATCCTCAAGTGGGTGAAACAGCATCTCTTGACTATAAAACTATGTTATTTCCAGTAAACTGAGCCATATTTCACAGGCACATTGCAAATATACCCTCAGCTCAAGGAAGCACATTCGGTAGTCGTCGTTGGAAGCTTTTTCAAATTAGATAGCATGCCTCGCCTATGTGAGCAACTTCTCCTGAACAACACATCAGTTATTCCAAAAAGCCTCCACTTCAGGATCCACTTACTTAGTGCCGCCTCTCCCACAGATACGTTTCCTAGAAATGAATATGATTCCCAACGTAGCTATCTAGCTGTTTATCATGTGAAATGACTGGAAGGAAAAATGAGATCTGAGTAAGTTGCTTTTCTAAATATGTACTCTGCATTTGGCAGTTTAGTGTATTAGGAAGAATTGTTGGGTTTGCCGCCTAGCAATTCCGTGTGTAAGAGCATGGAGATCAGGGCTTTCTTACAATATATGAGTCTCATGGGGCTATGTTTGCACCTACATTACACAACTTGGTAGAGAAACCTATTTCTGCCACAATACGTCATCTTACCCTAAACTACTTGTGTTTAGCTTTATGGAAATTTAAGGATATTTCCCCCTGAATTAGAAGAACAAATAACTCTCTCTCAATCGCTTAAAATCTCCACCTGAAACTCCACATCTGTGGTTACTGGAGTTAACAAAAGAGCTAACTGGTTTACTTACATTCGGTTGCTTGTGAGATGGTCACCTACCTAAATGGAGTGAGTTTCTTTTCTGAAGGGTTCAGAACCTTCTGAGAATTAACTAATTCCTGGGAGACCACTAGGGGTCAGTGCCAGGCTAATTTAACAAGAAAGAATTTTGCACATTTAGAAGAAAGAACCTGGGGGGAGGTAAGAAGTAGCACAAAAAAAAAACAAAACAAAACAAAAAAAAAAAAAAAAAAACAGTTTCTTAATTAATGGTCAATTATCCAAATAGGACTTGTCTACCCTAGGCTGAATCCTCTCACCTGTGATGGGCTTTATTTTCAGTCGATCCAACATTTTAGATAAATTGCCTACGACTTTCCCAAAAGAATATCAGCCTGAATAATGTGATGAATAAGTAGAAAGACGTGGTCCTTAACCACTAACTGATCTCTGCCAACTTTTGTGGGTCCTCTGGCAGTCTTTGGATCATGGAGCATGTTTTGTGTACATGTTTTCTAAAACTCATTGTATGAGCTTATTTGGATCCCATTAATGCTGTTCTTTGTGAAGCTTTACATTTCAGCAGAAATGGCGATAGAAATCCAAAAGAATGCTAAAAGCAAAAACAAACAAAAAAAAAACAAAAACAAACAAACAAAAAAAAACCAATGACCTCAAACCGTGGGGGATTTGTATGTTCTGTATTTCAATGTTTTAAACTTGTTGACCCACCCACCTCACCCCACCCCACCCCACCCCATCCCTGCTCCATCTGACTGTGTGACCAGCTGCCATTAGAATCATAAACGTTTTTCTGTAAGTAAGGGTGATTTTGCTTAGATTACTTTAAACCAGCTCCCCACCACCACCAGGTGATCTTCACCTCATCTGAAAGACATGCATACAATCTGCTTGTGCCTCTGGGGACATCCAGGAAAGGGTTGTGGGTGTTAGGAAGCTGCAGTAGACTGGGCAGCCTGGGCCACTTTTCTGCTGTCCAGGAACAGGACAATGTACTCAGAGACTAAGGAACAGACAGAGAATCAAAACAGCGGTTTTTGTTCCTTCTCTATTTGTCTTCAGAAAAATAAAAACAAAGAGCAGCTAAATCCTATTATTCTGAAAGATTCTCAGATCCATCTAACGTAAAGATGCAAGGCAAAACCAAATTTAGCTAATGAGATTAAATAAAACAAGGCACAGCCGAGCTTGCTCTCAGTTTAATGAGAAACCCCCACCCCTATGGATTCCATGGGATGCCGGCATCATTCTCTCTCGCTAGTGGTATAAAACCCTGGTTCCCTTCCTCGCCTTCCCATTCCTGGTTCCCTTTCCCCCTCTCCTCTCTCTTCCTCTCCTCTCTCAGTAGGATGGACAGGTCTTGGTGAGTGGCTGGAAATTCCAATGTCATCTTCTATTAATAAAGGACAATTAGTGTTCTGCCTGTCTGGCAATTGGACCCTAGGCAAAGCCCTGCTGTAGCTTAGCAGGGGCGCGGGGGCAGGGTGCAGCCAGGCAAAGCAGCTGTGCCCTTGGCCAACCCCTGAGCTGTGCTGGTACCAGACACAGACCTGCCCTCAGCCTCCATGATGGCCCTACTCCCTTGGTCCAGCAGCTGCCCAGATGTGAATTCGGTAGAGACAGACACAACCCTCTTTTTTCTCTGAGATGCCATCTCTCTGTGTCGTCCCAGACCCAGATGGGATTCCTCTAAATTTGGAAAAGAATCCCTGGAAATAACCTAGCACAGCACAGCTCTCGCTCCCAGGACCACCTGAAAACTATGGAATCCAAGCAGAACTCTCAGGTCAGATCATTTAACTAAGGTATTGTCCCCCTATCATTGAGCTACAAGTCAAACCAGACACTGAAAACTGGAAGATGCTAAGTACTGGATACTTGCACTTAGCCAGTGTGTGACTTCCAGAAGCCCAAGTCCCCTATGGGCTGAGTTCCCAAAGCCATTTGGGCCAGGGCACTGGGACATCAGAGCCATCCTTAGGCTACTCAAAATCAGCCTGGGTTTTCTGGAACCTTTCTCTCTGTGCTTACTCTAAGAGCTCATCAGGTCTTTGGGGTCTGCTAATAGCCTGACCTCGAGGATGGGTGGTGGGGACAGGCTATCCACAATAGGAAACTGATGCATGGGTCTGAAGTAGATGATAATGATGGGTATATCCTCCAGAACAAGGAAGTCTTTGGGGGCTGTTGCCTGCACTTTGTTTTGACTGGCAGACAAGCAACCTGAGACAGCACTGAGCCACCCCAGTGGACTTGACCAAGAGATTTGTCTGGTTATCTGAGGTCTAGAGGACCCTGGTGACCTATCAAACAGGGAATCAGGAGGCTGTGTAAATACCCTGACTCCAGAGGCAAAGCTGTCCCAGCTGTGCAGAGTGAGTCCAGCCCTACACTCACCCTTTGCCACGATCAGAGATTCAGTTTTTCAATACCCTTGCCAACTATGTTGATTAACTTTGGGCTGGTGACCACAGCCTCTGCCCCCTCCAGACAGAGTGGAGCGGGGGCTCTGAAGTCTCTCTCTTTCCCCCATTAACTATTTAGGAAAACCTCCTCCAGGATCTATAATTTGGCTCCAACAAAGGAATTGCCCTGGGGCTGTTTTGCTCCAACTGAGAGCCAGAAACTAATGGGCTCATTAACTAATGGGCAACAAGGATTTGGCTTTGCCTGTTTGGGGGAAGTCACTACAGCCCCTCGGTTATAAATTTTTTTTTCCTCCACAAGTTCAATAACCAATAGCCCATCCTCTCTCCCTTTCCACCTCCTTTACTTCTTCTGTCCTTTCTCTTCCTCAGTCTCAGAGGGGGTTGTGGGTCACTACAGTGACAGTGGAATTGGTCAGGTCTGTTGTGGGTCTGGGAGCAGTCTTGGCCATGGGGTCTGGGAGCAGAACCGGCTCTACTAAGTCCTCCTCCAGCACGTGAATTCGGAGCTGTCGGGGGGGGGGGGGGAGGAGACAGGGTAAGGTTTGGGGGCCCACCTGAGTTGTAATTCACGATGTCGACTCCCAGAGCTGGGCTCTTCCGCTTCCGGGGCCGCCCCTTCTGCACCGTGCCTGCGCCATTGAAGTAAGGCAAAGCCAAGCCTCCGCCCTTGGCTGCCAGCTCCGTGTAGCTCAGCTGAGGTGGATACTCCCCTTGCAAGAGGGTCTCGAAGTGTGCCCGGCAGTACACCAGGCTGTCCTTCATGCCGAAATGGTCGCCCGTGGTCAGGGTCTTGTTGCAAGTGGCGCAGGTGAAACAACTCAGGTGGTAGACAGAGTCTCGGGCGCGCATGACCATCTCAGAGGCAGAAATGCCAAGGTGGCAGCGGGCACATCTCTGCACAGAGAACCTTCTGGAAGCAAAAAAGGAGAGTCAGGGCTCCAGCTGGCGCAAGGAGGACCTAGCTCCCATTCGCAGCGCAACGCAGGGGCTTAGACTGCAGGGGCCAAAGATTCACTTGGGAGCGCTGGCTGAGGGCCACTTTGGATATCAGCTTTATTTGCACAGTGACCTATTCAGGTGAACTGGAACAAACGCATCCTTACATGAAAGTCGAAAGAACCAAGAACGTAGCTCCAATGTATTTTTGTTTTTAAGCAAATCAATAAAACCCTGAACTGGCCAACTCATAGCGCCATTGAAAGAAATTATTAAGTTGCAACGCCAAATGAAAAGCCCGGCCTTGCGGGATGACAAAACAGGATCACTATGTGCCCCAGGCTATCCTGGAAACTGGCAATGCAGCGGAGGAAAGACTACTCTTTCAGCGCCCTCCTACTTCTGCTTAGAGGGCAGCTAGGTCACTTCCACGCGCTCAAACCTTTCCCAACCTGCGGATTTTGTTGTTGTTTGCTTGGCTTTTGTTTTGTTCTGTTGGGGTTTTTTTGTTTGTTTGTTTGTTTGTTTTGTTTTGTTTTCTTCAGTCTGGTTCTGGCTGAAGAAGCAGTAGCCTGTATGACTTTCTCATAGTCATTTACAGGACCATTGTCATCCACTGGCTTGCCGCTGCCCCGGGCAGATAGGGAAGTTGACCGACTCACTTTAAGGGGGACCAACAAAACAAAACAGAGCAAGGGTCTTGTTCGCCAGAGACCTGTCATTCATTACTCTTCTCCAAGATCACTGGGCCGAGCTGGGAAACCTGATTTTAAAAAAATAAATAAATCTCTACTCCTTTGGATTCTTCTAGCCCATCCTCACCGATGGGATGCACACAGCTTTCAGGCATATGTAATGAATTTCCCCATCTCAGAAATAATTGAACCCTACACGGGCAAAACAAACAAACAAAAAGGGGTGGGGGGGGGACGGAGAAGCAACTCCGGATTCCCGCGGGCGACTCCGCCAGGTGCCTGGGGTTAGAAGGGGTGTGTGGGTGGGGGAGGGTGGGAGTACCTGTAGTAATCCTCTTTGCAGTAAATGCTGCCGTCCTTGGCAAAGCAGGTGAGCTCAGACTCCAGCGCCAGCTTACATTCACAGCACTTCAGGCACCTCAGGTGCCACTGTTTGTCTACGGCCAGCAGATAGTACCTGTCGGAGATCTTGCCCCCGCAGCCGGCGCACAGAGCAGGCTTCTCCGGGCTGAGCGGGGGCATGCCCTGTGAAGCAAGCGCACGGGGCAAGGCTGATGGGGGCCGCGGGGCGCTGCCGCACAACCCGGGATGCTTTTTTGGAAGAACGAGTCCCCGGCGGCAGAGCTGGAGCCCTTCACACCAGGGGCCACAAACACACAAAAGCAAGCTTGGAGGAAACATTCCCAGTTACTCCCTTTCCAACGACCAGTTAGTTCCCTTTCTGAGGGGCTTGCCTAGACCAGAGTCCCAGCCTTCCAGACCCTGAGACCCTAAAAGCAACCAGACTTTTAGAGCCTAGAGAATGTTTTGATAAGCGTTCCAGAAATAGAATAGCTAAGGGTAAATTTTTTGTGCGTGTGGTTTTTCAAAACAATACACAAAATAAAAACAACAGAGTTGTTACTGAGAAGTGGAAGGAATTCTGAAGCATGCGGATTTTCTTTTTACACAAACAACGCTATAAGTCTACTTTTCTGAATTTTAATAGGCGAAGTTAATTTGGCCGGCATTGTTGTGATTCAGACGTGCTTAGCAGATGTTGCTATTCTGTGAGTTCAAGGCCGTTGCCCGGTTCCCTTAAGGAAGTGAAGTGTCTATCCCGAAAGAAAGACCCCCACCTAGTCTTTTCTGTTTACTCGCTCTTTTCTCTAGCCGGCATAAACAACATATGTCTTTCTCTTGAAAATTTGATCCCCAAATTAAGCTCCCCACCTAGGTCCCAACTGAGGCTAGCTAGGGCAGTAAAACTCACTTTAAGGAACCCAGTCGAATTTGGTTGCTGCTTTTTATTTTTAAGTAAAATAGCCACGAAAGACGGGAAGCCGTTACTGGCTGGATTCTTTCCGCAGATTAACAGAAATAGCCCCGGCTTCCCCCTAATACATTTTGGCGGCACGGGAAGGTTAAGTTTTGCCTTTTACTCGGACGGTGGGTTCTCACTGAATTAATGGTACAAATGATGATAGTGGGCTATTTAAGACCCCAAACCTCGCTAGAAACGTCTCGGTTTAGTTTGAGCTACAGTCCCCGCAGTGATAAGAGAGATCTAGACAGCACTGTTGGCCAAGAATCATTTCCTCCGACCTCTACATTTCTCCTTCCATTCCACAAGTGGAAGGGGAAAATACTTAAGTTACTGTTAATTTCACGGAGACATAACTGCCATTACAAAAAGTAACAGGCAGTTGTGACTGATTGCTTCTCTCGGGTTAGTAGAGTTCATGTTCCTGCTTTTAGACCTTGTCGGTTTTTTTTTTTTATTCGATTTCGTGCTACACAAGGCACCCTCCTCATAGAGACAGAGACAGACAGACAGACAGAGAGAGAGAGAGAGAGAGAGAGAGAGAGAGACGCAATTTTGTGACTAGGGTAGCTGAACCGGCATGCCAGAAGCCCTAGCAATCTCTGGATTCCGGCGCTGAGTTCCGAATGTTCCAAGAAATTGGAAACGGACCAGCGCGCCTGGGTCTACTCCTAAGGTCTGGTCTTCCCATCCCAGAGACTGGGGCCCCAGGGCTCCAGCCTGTCGCAGACGCCAAGCCAGCCAGCGGCCCCCTAGCACCTACACTAAAGCTTGCCCTCGGGGAGGCGGATCCGGCCTGGCGGCCGAGTCACCCGAGGCTGGAGTTAGGGGATGGCCAAGGCCGGCTGTCGTCCTGCGTGCTGGCTATCAGCCGCTACAAAGACTGGTGAGTTCTGGACCGCAGCATCCCAGACACGACGACTCGGAAAGGGACCCTTGCCTAGCAAACAGCTCTCGAGAAGACCTGGCGAGCGTCCCCAAAGCAGACGTCCCCGGGACCCGCCATCCCCCAACCTGGGCAGGCCGGAGACTCGCAGTTTCTCCAGCGCCGCGCCCGGGCGGTCCTTACCGCATCGCGGCCGTTGAGCTGAGTGCCTTTGGCCAGGCGGGCCTCGGTCTTGGATCTGCGCTCCATCTCCTCCATGATGCCTTGGATGTGGCCTCCGGAGATCCCGTGGAAGAGCATGGCTGGGGGGCGGAAAGGACACGAATTGTTTTCGGCTCGGCACCCCACTATTTCCATAAACACACGCCCGGGGCTCTCAGTTCATCCGCGTGAGGAAGCGTAGGGGACCGCGCAGGGCTACGCGGTGAAGGAGCGTTGAGTCGCGCAGGGGCAAGAGAGGGAAGCAGAAAACGGCGGAGTGGAAATAGATCTATTTGAGAGGGGAAAGACCCGGGAAGAAAAGAAAAAAAGAAAAAAAAAAGCGATGGGAAAGGGGGGCGGGGAGGTCCGGCGTCTCCCAGAAGATGTGCAGAAAACAAACAAATGCGGACGGAGGGGAAAGCAGGAGAATCTTACTGCTGTGAGAGATCGAGTTACTAATGGAAAGCAACTGCCGCGGGGGGTTGTTACGGGGGGGGGGAGGAGAGAGAGAAAAACAAAATCTGAGGAAGAAAGAAATATAGTTTTGAACACAAAGAAAGAAAACGAAGTGCTGTATTCCGCGGTCCCCGGCTGCCTGCAAGTTCCCGGTGCCTGTAGGTTGGGTTGGGGACTGCTCCTGCCGGAGCAGTGTCCAATTTGTTAAGAGACTAAAGCCAGCCCATTTTTGATAATTTAGTAGGAGGAGTCCTCTCCCTGGAGCTGCCACGGATTTTTATTCAGACAACAAAGACCTGTCATACTCCCTGGTGATGGGCAAGCAGGGACAAACATTACAAAGGGGTGGGGGACTAAGAGGGGAGGCAGGAGGAAGGGGCCCTTACCCCCACCCCCCACGCGCGCGCCTACACACACACACACACACACACACACACACACACACACACACACACTCAAGTACACATCCTTCCAAGAGTTCTCAACAGTCATGTTTTCAAAGGGCGAAAGGAGCCCGCATTGTCCAGTCCTGGATGGAGCTGGAGGGAGGGGCTAGCCTCATTCGCTCCCAGTTCATCAGACCCCAGCCCAGGGTACACCCAAGATGAGCTGCAAACTTTGAGTTTCCCTCTCGTTCGCAGACTTTTAAAACCCCTAGTTCACAGGGCTGTCACCCGGCACGGGCATGCACCAAACCCGCAGTTTTAGAAGCGATTCTTCGCGGCGGAGTTTGCTCCTTTCCTCCTGGCCCCTTCTGACGGTGGTCTACTCGCCTCCCCTCCCCAAGGGCAGGAGCCACCACCAGGCTCCCAGGCGTCCTCCAAAGCGAAAGGGGGCCTGGAGAACCTACTTTTCCGAGTATTACTTCTTCTTCTTCTTTTTTTTTTTTTTTTTTTTTTTTTTGGAGGGGGGGAAACCAACTATATATATATATATATATATATATTCTGAAATTTTTTAATTTTTAGTGTAGAGGCCAGGGCATGGTTTTGTAGACCCGGATATTCAACAGAAGGAAGAATTGACTCTTTAATTCTACATTGAAGGTAAACTAGTGGAGATTCTAGTGTCCCATTTGGAGTTTGTCAACTTGCCTAGCATAGGACTCTGGTGAGCTGGGCGCCCGAGCCGGGTAGGACGTGGCATCGACCGCTAGCGCTCTCGGCACACTTGGGTGGGTGTGAAAGGGGCTCAGGGTGGAGGCGGGGAGGTGAGAACTAACAGGCTGGGTAGTAGACTGCTCTTCACCAGAGATGGCATTGTTCTGTCGCCCTGCGTTCTTGCTAGCGCTGCCCTTCCCCTCCCTCTGGTCCCATTAAAAAGAAGTGTCCAGGATCCTCTGATACCCTGGATTCACCAAGACGGACAGAAAACGCCTAGGATGATGGAGCGAAGACCGGCGACGGGAACTTAATCAGGAAAAAGAAAGAAAGAAAGCCTGGCCGCTCCCAGTCCTTTTCTTCGTGCTTGCCAGCCTGTTTCCCCACTATCCCGTGATTCTGGGGGCTTCAGAGCTGCAGGCCTGCCCCCACCCCTGGAAGTTCCACGTGGAGCTTTAGCCCAATCTGGAGGGAACCCTGAGAAGAAACTGGGGAGGAGGGGTATCGGAGGAAGGGGAGAAAAAAAAAAAAAAAGAATGGAGGGTGAGTGGGAATAACAGGGCTAAACAGGAAGGAGAGAAGGATGGAAGGGAGAGAGAGAGAGAGAGGAAGGAAGGCAAAGGAGAAGGAAATCACCCTGGTGTAGCAGCCTAACTTCCTGTCCCTAAACTTCACCTTCCAGAGGCTCTTGGCGTCGCCTCTTCCATGAAACTCAAACATCCACTGTTTGCCCACTTCCCCCCCCCCCCGGTCAAAATGATGTTATTTGCAGACTGGACGCTTTTAAGGTCCTCTGGGTACCAGAATACAGCTCATAAAACACAATTTCACACAAAAAATGAAGCCAATCAAGCGAACTAAGCTGGAGAAACACCCCCCCCCCATTCTGGCAGCCCTACCTGACAGCAGGAAGGGTATTTACTATAAGTAATGTAATTAGCCCCTTTGGATGGAAATCAATGAGCTCTTCAAACCCACGTGCACACACACTGAAGGACCCCAAGGAGGGACTGGGGGTGGGGTGGGGCAGGGGCCCTTCCAGAGACAGCAGGTCTTCTCACAAAGGGGCAGATTGCCTTCACAGAAGTCAGCAGTTAGACTGACTCTGCCCAAGGACGAGGAGAAGGGAGGGCTACCCAAAGAACTATTCAGAACTCAATTAAACCGAGGAGGCTAGACGCACAAAGTAAATATGAGACCGTGGTCCACTTTGCCTAGTTTCTCCCCCACATCCTTTCTCCCTTTAGAACTGGGTTTGGCTATTGTGTTTGCTCCTGAACTGTTCGTTCAGCAAGAACATTAAAAACAAAAGCAAACAACAGCAAGAACAACCGAGACTTCACGAAGAAGAAGTTTTAAAAGACCTCTTAGAAGAAGCCTTAGCTTTGGGAAGAATCCTTAGGGGAGCTAGACAATGACATCTTGTCAGCCTGCATCCATCCATCCATCCATCCATCCATCCATCCATCCATCTATCCTTGCATCCATCCACTTCCTCTGTACATGCCTTTAAGTCATCTATAAGGACAAGCTGGGTAAAGCATTTCCTGCAAGCAGCTTCCTAGCTGAAACCTAGCTAGGGCTGCTCTTTCTTATAAAACTCAAGTTATAAGATCCAGGGCCCATGGGGATTGGTCACTTCCATGAAGAAGTGAACTACCAAGGTTTTTCTTGCTCTGAGCTTGCAGAAGTCTTTGGAAAGGTAGGAACAGGGCAGGGGGCTGCTGGAGCTTGGGGGGTTCTGGGGAAACAGCCCCCACATAGGTCCAGCCCGCCCTCCTCTTACAGAAGAAGGAAAGGAATAGAAGGGCAAAACAGCCTAAGAATTAGGCATGTCACAAGAATGTGCTCACCTTTTGTCTAGGCTTCCTGAAAATTGCTGAAGAGCCCATCTCACCCCCTCCTCTTCACTCAGAGGGCTCTATGTGTCTTAAATGGGGAAGGCATCCTGGCATCTTTGCCAGGAAGTGTGCATCTCTTTCTCCCAAATCCAGGCTCAATGACTGGCACATGTTTCATGAAAGTCAAAGAACTAGCAAGTTCAATTCCACAGAAGAAGACCTCGCCCACATTACAGGGGCAGGTGCGTGGTGTGCTGGCTGTCTGGCCCATTTGGATCTGGAATCTTCTTTCCAAAGAAATATTACAGGAACAGAACCCTGGCCTAGTACAGCTGCCACCCCCCCCACACACACACACACCAGCATAGGCGATCTGATGTGCTTTTTTCCTGTTCTGTGGCTATCCATGGGGCTATTGTTACAACCTTCAGCAGAGCGGGTCTCTGTTTTAATAACACAGAAGATGTTAGATTTAGGGTACCAGATTATAGCATTCCCATGAGGGCAGTGGAGACTCAACAGCCATTGTCTGGGCTCTGGCAGTCTTACCTGGGAAGAGGTCCCTGGCTTAGTCTAACTCCTCAGAGGCTAGGGGAGAAAGTATAGCGATGTCCATGATTGCTCAAATAGCTCCACAGCTTTAGGCTCGATCAGAGAAAATAGCCCAGCAAATTGCTCATCATTTAGCTAATAAGACACTCAAAGTCTCTTTAGACCTGGATTTTGGTGACCATAATCTAATGCTCACAAGTTTGGCCATTCCTTCAGATCCTAAGAATGTTGTTGTTTGGAAAGGCGAAACTCTGGAGATCTTGCCTAGATTTTACCATGGGGTGGGGGTTAGTTGTCTTGACAGCTAAGAGAAATCAGAGGTGTTATGGAGCTAGGAGTCCTGCTTTCAGTCCGGCCTTGGACAACCAGGCTGCTCTCCCTTAGAGGTGAGCAAATGGCCGGCGAGTCCTCAAACCTTTCTCGGAACAGAACAGACAGATCTTCCTATGAGCAACGCTTCCCCTAAGTGATGCTGGCAGGTCCAGCCTTGTCCTTCAGAGAGCACCTCTGTCTCATCCCTATCAATAAAAGCTTTCCTCGGGACAAACGCAGGGGAGCCTTCAGAGTTGTGGCCTCAGTAGCATCCGGGAGGCCTGGGCGATGCTGTTCTCTGCCTGCCGCAGCCCAGCTGCCGCCCCCTGCCCCCATGGCCTGCTGCTCTGAGGAACAGACGTCTACAGCGGGCCAGGGCCAGGCAAGCCTACACCCTGTTAGTGCACCAACACCTGCGGCCACAAAGGCCCTCGTCAACTGCTTGCTACCTCCAAACCTATGTTCTCCAATCTTGCTCCCCCTCACCCCCAGCAGGACTCCCACCTATAGTAGAACACCATGCTTCTGAAACTTGAAGCCCTTTTACTCGAAGCTTGCTGTACCAGTGGCCTTCAGAACCCCCCCCCCCAATAAATGGTGTATTCTACACAGAGCAATGGATTGGAGATGAGCAACAATGATGAAATGTGAATAAAGCTAGTTTCCATTGAAGCCTTGCAAGGTGCCCCAGGAGCTCCGTCGAGGGTCGCTGGTCCCTCACGCCTGTGTTTCTCCAGACCCAAAGATACTCTGACCTCTGTCCACAGCCCTGACCCTAGACTCCCAGGAAAGTCAAAGGCATTCAAGAAAAGAGCCAAAAGCGGTGCGGTTAGGGGATGGGCGGAGGGGCCAGGTTCTGGGAAGTCCTGAGCAAAAATGTTTTCCAATCTCCAAAGCTAAGTTCAATTTTAAGACAATTACTATCCCCCCCCCACACACACACCATCTTCCTCCCAAAGAAAACAGTGGCAAGGAACTTATCGAGGAACCTGGCAAGAACTCACCTGCCTCTAAAGTGGTACCGTTCAGCATCCTCACCGAGAGGGAGAGAGGGTCGACGGCGCAGTTAACCGCGGTCTTACTGTCAGAAGAAAACCTAGTGTGTCAGGTAGACATTACTCCTCGGCTCCCCAAGAACCTCCTCCTCGGTAGTACCAGTCTCCACCTCTTTTCTGCTAAGATTGGGGACCCACACAGTTATGGCCAAGCTAAAGCTTCCTTTACGGAGCTCCAGAGCGGGTCCCCCTTCCCGCCTCCTCCAGGGACAGAAAAAGCACTCCCCACTATTGGGAGCCTAAGTGGGGTATTGGGATGTTGTTACCTTGGTGTCCCGGAGAGTCAGACGTTCCTCTCAAGAATTTGATTCTTGGAGAGGTGGTGGCCAGAGGTGGCCGTAAGGGGTGCGGGCCAGTCTGTTAATCAAATAAATAAGGCAGTGAATGAACATTAGCGCTCTCTCTCTCTTTCTCTCTCTCTCTCTCTCCCTCCCTCCCTCCCTCCCTCCCTTCTCTCCCTCCTTTTCTCCCCCCCTTCTCTCCCCAATATTGACCCGAATCTCTCACCTCTGACCTTCAGCCTCCTCCGCCTGTCTTTTATTTTCTGTTTATGCTTTCCCAAATCGAAAAAGGCGGGTGTGAGGGGTGGCAGAGGGCTCAGCCTCTGGCCAGTGCCCCAACACCGGTTCTGAGGCCACGCTCAGCCCTACTAGCCTCTCAATAATCCGAGGAGGTGTTAATGGAAGATTTGGCGGCGAGGAACCTCATAAAGCCACGAGCATCCCCAGACTTGGGCGCAGCGGGGGGTGGGGAGGTGGGGGGGAGGGAGGCTGGAGCCCCACAGTGCACCCTGGGCTCCAGGACACCCAGCCTACCTTTGCCTTACTGAAGCCGGTACCTAAAAGATGCTGCCGCCAGCTGGTGCCCGCTGCATAGACGGTGAATGGGTGGTAGCTCCTGGGGAAACTGGGCTACGCTATTGATTGCTCACATACGGTCCCCGCCTTCTTCTCCCTATTCTTCGCTCAGCTTCCGTGCTCCTAAGCCGGGCATTGGAGACCCAGCAAGTTGGAAAGCATTCTGCGCTGGAGGGAGGCCTTTGTGACCGGTCTGTCTGCGAGGGTTCCCAAGACACCTGTCCCTCTCGGGTCCTCACTAAAGAGCCACGGCTGAGATTAATCTTCTAGAAGGAAATCTGCACTCAACTCCCGCACTCAAAAACGGCTAACGAAGGGAGTGTGACTCGGGACCCGCGGAGGAGGGCACCCTGTTACCTGGTCTAGGTTCCGCTAGGACTGCGTAGCCCCGGGCTCCCTCGAGCGGCTGGTACTGGAGACTCGGAAGCCAGACCTCTGGCCAATTATTCACCCCACTCCCCACCCTGGGCGCCCCTGGCAGTCTGAGATGGAGAGGCGGGGGATTAGCCTGGGCTCCCGCGCCAGTGGGGAAGGAGGTGTGAGCAGAGAGATTGGCAGCTCTGGAACGCCGGTCAGCACCGGCGCCGCCCTCCCCCACCCGTCTGCTCGCCCAAGCCCGGGCGGGCGGTCTTAGCGGCTCCTTGACTTGGCACGGGCCAAGGGCTGGATGGGCTGGACGCAGCCACCAGATAAAATTACGGACTCATGCAGGGGCGGAAGTCAAGCAGTCCCACAATCTCTCCACATTTTGGGGGCTTTGAGTAAGAACGGCTCAGGAATAGTGAATCCAAGCCCTCTTCCCTCCCTCGTGCGTGCGCTCAATCTGCACCCTACACCACTGCAGAATATCACGCTCGGAGCCCTGGGCTTCGTGAACTAGTCCCTGGGGCCAATCAATCAGTCCGATCCGTTTATTGAACCGGACTTTCCCAGACTCACCCGACCCTATTCAGCGTATTATTATTATTATTATTATTATTATTATTATTATTATTATTATTCTGTACCCTCCTGGAGGGAACATAACTCTTGGGTACAGCTTTATGCTAATCAGTGAAGGAGCACTAGAAACTCTTAGGTGTTCTGTCCTATGTGGTGCCTTTTAACTTTGGGTAACTGTTTCAGGTATGTGGTAAGGATGGACACACACACACACACACACACACACACACACACACACTGATGGAGGGAGAAGGAGGGAGGGAAGGAGGGAGAGAGCCAAAAGGAGAATCATTTTGGATTCTGGAAGTATATCTTGACTATTTCTGGATAGTGAAAAGGCAACACAGAGCTTTAAATTCAGCACCGTTGACAAATGTCAGCTCACAAGCTTTAGCCATCATCCTCTGTGGAAGGTGGGGAAGATGAAGGGGCTGGTGTAGGTGACGAGTGAAGGGTGAGGAGTGGAGGGCAAGGTTCCTTTGGGGCTGACCTGGGACCCTGCAACTTCCATCAGGCAGGTAGGGAGCCTCCTTCCCTAACCTTGTCTGGGGAAGAATCAAAGCCCCACCAATTTTTGATGTTAGAAGCTTGTTGAGCAAAGGGCTTTGCAAATGCCTTTGGAGAGTGGCCACTTTGTTGAAACAAAGATTCTTGGTGGAGCCAGCAGAAAAAAAACGTCAGGATCTCATTTGTTGCAAACACCCTATTTGGAACTTCAAGCTTTACTTGAAAGGATACAATTATTTCTCATCTCGACCTGCTTAATCAGCGGGGACAGTGCAGCTCCCAATGAGAGAGGAGTGTGCATCATCATCATCCACAGCTAGGGAGGACCGTCTTTCTTCCAGCTGAGAGAAGAACTGGCTGCAGAAATGCATCTCCACTCCTGCTCTAGTAACCTAAGCTTCTTTGGGGTTATTCTGTGTTAGGAGCAACCCAGAAACCAGTCTCTCTTGATTTATGGTGCCCTGGGGTGGAAGGAGTCTCCGGAAACCTGAAGGGTGGAGCCACACCGGAGTTGATTTATGCGGGGACATTGTTATTTCTGAGCATCTCCATGTGTTTGTATCTATGCATCCAATAAGAGACCTGAGTTTTTACTTTACAATGTGCGAAAACAATATAGCTTAAACCCTCTGTAGCAAAGTCCATTTATGTGGCAACATTGTGTTTTACTGTGGGGGCACCTGCCTTGCTGCCTGTTATACCATGGTTCCCATGCATCTCTCCAGAAACCTCAGCAGACCTTTTATTCCAGGCATCAGCTGTAGGCAAGGCTAATTGCCTCCCCCTCCCTCCCTAACTCAGCAGCTACTGTACTACAAGTTGAGATGATCCCAAGAACTGGCAACTTCCTTAATGGCCAGCATTTGTTTGTTTGTTTGTTTTGCAAGGATTGCACCAAAGAGCAGCCGTGGGGTGTGGGGTAAAAGGCCCCCCTGGGAGTTCCTTCCATCTACCAAGGTTCTTTTTCTAAACACTCCCTTAAGTGGGACTCCTTTTCAACACCCCCCTCCCCTTCTTCCTTTCCTAGATTCTTCAGAAAGATAATCCTTTTAGACTATTTCTTTAGAACATCATCCACCCACCATCTGAGAAACTATCTGGTTAATCTTCAATTTTAGTTAAAAAGTAGAAATTTGTGGTTGCTCCTGGACTCATAAATGGGAAAGGAGCTGCAAGCAGTCCTTATGACTTAAAAGTTTAACTGCCTTGGCAACCACACCTCCTCTCTTCCTTGTGGATATGATGATCCCAGGTCCAATAATGTAGCATTTCAATCCAAGGAAACTGCAGGCACCTTGCATGTATCTTGGGGGTGGGGGTGGGGGGCATGCTTTCTAGAGTACCAGGGTCAGAGGATTGGAAGAACTGAGCCATCAACATGGTCAACAGGCTTTGGGGGCAATTTAACATCAGTCATGAAAATATATGTAAAAAGTATTTAAATAACAAACTGACTGAAGAAAACATGAACCACTAGAAATTAGTTTTCCCCATGTTTTATAGCTAAGAAGGACTTTCATTTGGGGGATGAATACTAGGGAAGGCTCTAGAACCTTTTGATTGCTTAAGATGAGGATTATCTCTGAGTGGTCTACATCTGAGGGTCAACTCTGGGCAACATTGCTCCTCCACAGGCAGACACAGTCACCCAGTGCCTGCTGTCCTTCTAAGGAAGCAGAGGATGTGTGAAAAGAACATCTCTTAGGGGATCTTGCCTCACCAGAGGCTGGGCTCTCACAAGGGAGTCACCACAGTGGACAGAATGGATACAGAGCAAGAACCATGTCCAAAGGTGGGTTTGCCTCACAGATGTCAAGAGTAAACAGAGGGCTGGGGAAACGGAGAATGAAGAATGATCTAAGGGAGGCGTGTTTAGTGCTCTGGTGCCCAGGTCAAAACCATCTGAAATTCACACCGAAAGGACAGACGGACAGTGAGAGCATCTCTTGCTGGGGGGTGGCATTTCTTGGGTATTTGTATGATGCACTACATGGTATTACACCCGTCTCCTTAAGTTGGAGACGTGAACAAAGTGAAAAATGTACTTGCCAGCAACCTTCCTTGCACAGATGAGAAAACACTGGGAGAAGCAGGGCCAAGGAAAGCCCAATGCTGCTCCTGTGGTCCAGCCGCTGCTTCCATGTAATAGAGCAGCCATTGGTTGTCTTCTCCTTCACCGTATGCATGTGATCGTGCAGCTAGAAGAAAGGGAAGTCGCGTCCCCTTTATGGATGTCCTTTTGAATATATGTATTTAGTGCTAAAGAGGTGTTCGTATACTTGCAACAGATAAGAATTCTCGATTAGGGTTTTATTTTCAAACACCTGAGTTCGGTTTGACAGAACAGAGGTAAAGCCGTTGTCAAACATAAAAATGGGAGTTGAACTTCTTCTTTTTAGATGGATCTTTCACATTGACTTGGCCATAGGGACACTGAAAAAGAAGGGCAATGAATTATCAATTTATTTAGCAGTCACTGTGGGGATGCGCATCTCTCACGTTGGGGAAAAAGGGGAGGCTGTCGTTGATGTTTTAGATCATTGCCTCTATCCTGTCTTGGGTATGCAATCTTGGGTAAATTGGCCCAAGTAGGGTTAAAGAAGGATTTCCTAAGTGTATTTCCTTCCAGTCTCAAGAGTTCATAATCTGTTCGTAATCCTAACAAGATAACAACACACCTCGGTGGCACTCCTTCCAATAAAAAAAACAAAAATCTGATTTCCCCTTTGCTCAGATTAGAGCAAAGTATAGTTCGTTCACTTTGACCATTAAACATAGGCACGTTATCTCCCAAAATAAGCATATTCAGACCCTCAGCACTAACTCTGTGGTACTGTGCCTTCTCAGTTTCTCTAAACACCAGCTAAAAGGAAGCAGAGAAAGGAGGAGGAAGAGAAGAATTGAGAGACAGACAGACAGACAGACAGAAAGAGAGCGAGGGAATATAAACCTCAGGAAAGCAGAAGAGCAGAACTGGAGATTTGCCCAGGGAAAGGGGCTGTAAAGCAGGCAGGGGGGTGCAAGGGTAGAAAGTCTTAGCCTTTGATAGAGACCCAGGGCTCAATGATGCGCAGATCTCTGTTCCTTAAGATGGCAACATTTCTAGGATTTGGTCAGCAACATTTTTGTTTGTTTGTTTCTGTTCCTGCCCTCTGTGCTTGCCTAGTGAATACAATTTCTTTCAGACTTCATGAAAGCAACCCTCCCCTGAATCTCAAGTCTTAGCATTTGGAGGAGCTGATGCTTTGCAGTAAAAGGGTACAAAATTCCATTAACTTTAAAGTCCCTGGGTTGGTACTACTAGCTTCATTGTCCTTTGCTGAAACAGCTTGTGGAAAAGCTAGTAGGTCTATTTAGCTTCTTTTTATTTCACTTGTTGTTCAAATAGTAGGTATTTATAAAGTCACAGAAGCTCAGCAAACTGTTGGGGGTAATTCGAGAATTGTTACTCACGTGTCTACAGGCAAAACCACAGCAGGAACCTCTCTGCAAGTGGGCCAGCCTCGTGAACACCACATAGCCCGTAGCTGGGTCCACATAGCTTAGCTGGCCAGCCTAAGAGTTATAGAACAATATATTAATCTTTGTTAATGTTCACTATATCTCTCTAATTAAATATTTCGGTCCAAAGCTACTGTAACAATAATAATAACAGTACTACATTTCTTTCCCAGTAATTGTAGTGACATTAGCGATTAAGAAGGGAATGCACTTCAACATTATGTACAATCTAACTATGCTCGATTGAAGGAAAAACCATGCAGTTTGAGTAAAATGAGAAGTTGATGGGAAAACAAGAAGTCCTCTGTATGCAATAACTGTGTAACCACCACTGTGATATTTTTCATTGCACATCCAGGCAACACGCTCCATAACGGGCGATTTAGATGATTTTAAGAGCTTAAGGGGCTGAAAATGAACTTCACTGAGAAGTTGCAGTTACAATTTCAGTACCTACAATATGTGAATTAGGATTTAAACTCACAGAAAAGGTGATAATCAAAACCAAACAGCCCTTGCAGGAAAGCATTACCTTCACTATTACTGAACACTTTCCATACCTTCCTGATGTGTTTGTTACTCCACTCCATGGTCCACACTATTCCCCTTTCCTACCAGCTCCCAGTATTGTTTGTTGTGACATTAACTTAAAAAAAAAAAAAGTATTGTTTTGCCACATTAACACTCAACTGGTTCTAACAAACTTGGTCAAGAGCAGCTTCCAGTTTATGAGTTCAAATGCCAGGGAAGCATTTTCCATCCAGGCCAAGTCCAAGGTTCGCTTTAATGATGTTTCTTAGCATCCAGATTTTATACAGGGACTTTCCTATGAGCTCTGATGTAACACTTTGACCTTCAGTAACTCAATGCATCGCTCTTGCATATAGATCTTCATGGAAATATGCGTGAGAAGTCCAGGTTCACTCCAAGGCATTCCCACACAGATGGACCATGGCACTAAGAATCCAGCAAGTATCAATGGTGCTCTCAGGAGTCTTCCCAGTCCTGGGGTCATATGACATCAGGTGCACTCAACACTACCTTAGAACGCACCAGAACCTCATCCTTTATCTTTTCTCTTCTCCATCCCCACAAGGCTCATGTCTGAAGATCTGGAAGGCAATCCAACAAAAACGCTGCAAAATCTTCAGTAGCTTCGCTTTTCTTAAGTGTGTGCGTGTTTTCCAAGGGGCAACTGTCTGGCAAGCCAACAGGCCTCTTTTACACATGTACTCTCCTGCTCTTCACGTGGATACCGCACACCTCTAAGTTTGCTGACTGCACACACACACACACACACACACACACACACACACACACACACTTTGTCCTCATTAGATGAACCTCAAGGAGTGCCATGATCCAAACTGGAGAGCAAGAATGCCACTGAAAGCAAGATGTCCAGTGACGATGCCATCAGCAGCAGAAAGCTAGGGGGAGGGGGGGCTCTCTGTCTCCAGGCATGGGAAAGTACAGTTGCTTCAGGGCTTTTTTATTTTTATTTTTTGCCGAATATCACACCTGTCTTCTGGGTTTACGTATGGTCTCCTGGACAGTCATGTAACCCACGTGAAACCCACATGGATGAAAAAGTTGTGGGTCCCCCAGTGGAAGTAAGTTCCTTTCTTTTCCCGTGTTGACTGAACCATCTTTGCAGGCCACCGTTGTTTGCTCTGAAATGATGGAGACTTCTGTGTTTTAACCACCGTACCTACGTGGTGACTAGTGGGAACAAACTGCACGGGTTATATCTAAAATAAGAGCATCAAATGCTGCCAATAATCTGTTAATAAATCTTTATTGACTTCAACTCCTGGAAGGGTCAGTGGATTCTCAGGACCTACTACTGTCAAGGGAAGGGATGTCAACCTTTGGAAAGGGTCAAGGTTTTCCTCTCTACACCCCCCGTGGTTTGAGCCTACTCAAATAACACTCCCTGGTCTAATCAAGTACTGGCCACATAGGAAGCTTAATATAATAGAAATAATAGAAATCACTTTTATATCATTATAGAACTTAAAATATAAATAATGTTATCTTCAAACTCTTATAGTCTGAGCTGCCAGGAAACTGCAGGGAGATGAGGTTGGATGTTAGTGATGACCCGCAACCGTCAAAACCACAAACCAGAAGAAAAGGTTATTTAAGAATGCCTAGGGTGGAAATGCAAAAAAAAAACTTGCCTGGTAGTAATTTCCTCTGCTCACTTTGGACTGACTGGAGGCGAAGGATGAGAGAGGGCATAGAGCAAAAACAAGGAGAAAAAAAAAATGCAAAGCGTCTGCCCTGTGCTTTCATTACTAAAAGTCACTGGATGGCAGGCTGCTCAAGTTATCGTGCACAGGGTACACACAGTCTATACAACATACTTCCCCCCACCCCACTCCCCTTACCGCTCAGTCCATCCTCAGCTCCCTAACGCCTCCCTTTCACTACCCAACACACTCACACGCTGGAGGGCGCGCGCGCGCACGCACCCCGAGAGAAGCCTTTAGTTAGGGGGGTGCAATGATCACAAACTGGGTCCCGATCTCGGGGCAGACCCCACCCCCCACCCCACACAGTGCCGGGAACGCCGGAATGCTGGCAGGACCCTCCTCCCCGGCGGGTGCACCAAGCCCACCCCGCCCCGGGCCGAGCGCGCGCAGGCGCAGGCGCAGGCGAGGCCGCGGGGCGGGCTGGGGACGAGCCTCACCGCGCAGGCGGCCCGGTGCAGCCCAGCGATGAGCAGCTCGGCCGCGGTTAACTCTCGGCTCGCCCGGCGCCTCGGCTCTCCTTCGGGCGTTCCCCGCGAGCCTGGAGCGGAGCCGCCGCGGGCCGCTGCAGAATCCGAGCGCAGCGCCGAGCTCAGCGGCTGCCGGGGGCCTTCGGCCCAATGCGGTGGCCTCCTTAGCGCGGCTCGGGCCCGCGCTGCTAACCCGCAGGCCGCCATGGCTCCTCCACCGGGGGCTGGGGCGGGGCGAAGCGAGGGCGGGGCAGGGGCGGGGCCTGGAGGGCGGGGCGGAGAGGGGGGTCGAGCCCTGTGCAGTGACCGCCTCGCTGTCCTTGTCCTCCAGTGTCCTCCACTCCGCCTCTTTCTTTGCAGAGGTTCCCATGTGTCTGCAGGCTGGAAGGAGGCGCCCTCTCCTCCCGTTCTGTGCTGTTTTTCTTCGGAGATAAAAAGGGCGAGCATTTTAATTCCCCACCAGGCCAGGTCATAGCCCCAATTATCGTAATTGTTTAAAAGAAAAGAAAACAAATAGAAAGTGAACCTTGTTGCTAAACACCTTCAACGCATATAGGAAAGGCTGCTTGCCCGCTGGCCACGTGTTGAGGGAAGGAATAAAATTCGGAGCAAGGACTTGGGGACTTGGTTAGTTGGCTCGCTCCAGAATGAAAGTCAAGAAAAATCCTCACACTAGGAAAAGGAAAAGGTGCTGTGGGGGCTGGAGAGATGGCTCAGTAGTTAAAAGCATGGCTGCTCTTGCAGAGGACCCAGGTGTAATTCCCAGCACCCACAGGGCAGCTCACAGCTGTCCCTAACTCCAGTTCCAGGGCATCTGACATCATCACAACAATGCATACAAAATAAAGTTAAATAAATCAATTTTTTTTTTTAAAGGAAGAAAAGGTTTTGTTTTGCACAATCACACCTGAAATCCTGTCTGGAAGACTGTTACACCATACTCCCACAAAGTTAATTTGAGGAAATTAGCAGGAGCCCAGGAGATAATCTCATGTGTTAATTAAATTAACACCATCCCCAGCCCTGGACATTGCAGCCCGAGTTTCAGGAGAAGGCTTGTTAAGTAGTTTTGTTAGTGATCTTGGGTAGATAGAACCGAAGGCAAGACTTGATCCTTGACAGCAAAAGTCGGTTAGTTGGGCTGGAGAAAGGTGTCTAAGACACCACATACCATATCAATTCCTTTTTGCAGCATCAACATTTTCTGTGCAACCCTGAAATCACAATTTGATGCTGTTAATCACGGATTGGGACAACTCTATTGGCATGTTTTAAATTCCAGTGAATTAATAAATTGGAATCCCGTGCCCAAATATTTCCTTTATATTAAAGTAATATATCTGAAATTGGAGACTGCCCACTGTTCTAAGAGACCCTAAGGAAATTTAGAAGGATGGGACCAAAGTTAAACTCACCTAAAATGAATAACATTAAACATGATAATTTACATATAAGTCCTATTTCATCCCCAACCAAGAACTGGAAATTAATCTGTTTAGATGCACTGTTCTGCTATTTAAAATCGATGATTGATATGTCAACATGACATCGCCTCAGAGGATGAGGAGCACATTTTACAGAAATGACATTGACAAGAACCGGCTGAACAGGAAGTAGTTTGGAAAGAACGACGCCCAAATTCCCAAATATTGTGTATAAATGTTTGTTTTCATTTAATTGGACTTTGTTATATAAAATTAAATAAAATAATAATAATAATAATAAAAAGAACCGGCTGAAATAGGAATGACAAAGAGTCTAGGAAAAAATAACTTATATAATATCCCTTCTAGTCAGAAGAGAGAGGTGAATAGAAAGTGACCGAGTTGGCCACGAAGTTTACACAAATTTACATGTGGGAAGACAGCATAGAACTCTGCACACAGTATCCCAATATCCCATCTCTGTTTTTATATTATAGTGGATGTAAGGTTTGGATGAAACTGGGCGGAGGGTATACACAGACCCTCTCTAATATATTTCCAACTCATGATCTAACATTATTTAAAATTTGGAACAGTAATGGATAAATAATGGTTTCCGGATTATTAAATATACAGAACTTTTTTCCCCCATTATCTCCTTTATTCCCAGTTTTAACAGTCATCTTGATGTAGGTACAGGGATGTGTACCCATAGTCCTAGAGCTCAGGAGGCGGTGGTACAAGGACTATGATTTGCCGCCAACCTGGGCTGTGTGCTTTTGTGTTGGCTCTTTTGTTATTGTTGTTTTGTTTTTTGTTTGTTTTTAAACCTCTTTAGTCTTCAGCCTATTTGTTTTTATTTTCATTTTTATGGTGTTATCTTATTTCTTCTGTTCTTGTTTTTGAGAGAGAGAGGGGGGGTCCTAAAGTTCAGTGTGTAGGGAGGAAGGAAGCTGGGAGAATCTGTCGGAGGGAAACATGGCCAAAATATACTGTATGGAAAAAAATTAATTCTTGCCTATAAAAGGAACACCAGAGTTTCTTTTAGGCAGGGGTTTCTCTGTGTAGCTTTGGAGCCTGTCCTGGAACTCGCTCTGTAGATCAGGCTGGCTTTGAACTCATAGAGATCCTGCTGCCTCTGCCTCCTGAGTGCTGGGATTAAAGGCATGAGCCACCAACACCTGGCTCAGAGGACAGTTTTAAACCCTAATGAAAGCAAACCCCCTCTCCTCTCTGGCTGGGGACTCGGGGGAGGGGCACACGTGCAGCAGGCCATCTATGTCCTACCTGTCCTTCTTTTCAACTTACCTTTGTCCTTTTTTATTTCTTCAAGAAAACACCCTGCATGGGCATCATGTCTACCTTTTACAGCCTTTCGATTTCCAGGCTTATCAGGTGCGTGGCCTTGTAGGCAAGCTTAGCTAATAGTCCTTTTACATTCTAAACTTTTAGCATTTGAGGATGCACTTCAGTTTAGCAGAGTTTGGGTGGGTGGGGTATAGCTAGACCATGAGGCTTCAGTGAGGGTCTCGTGTTTTCTGGCTTGGGGTACCTCTGACAATGATCCATCAGACTCTATTTCGTACAATCAGCATCATGTTCATTATTGAACCAGTCCTAGAGGGAACAGGTTATACTTAACCAATCAGGGCCAATCTAAACCTGCCTGTGGGTAGGTAACCCTCCCATCCCCATCTGAAAGTGGACTTTGTTAGCCGGGCGTTGGTGGCGCACTCCTTTAACCCAACACACAGGAGGCAGAGGCAGGTGGATCTCTGTTAGATCGAGGCCAGCCTGCTCTACAGAACGAGTGCCAGACAGCCAGGGCTGTTACACAGAGAAACCATGCCTTGAGAATCCAAATTAGGAGAAGTAATAATAATAATAATAATAATAATAATAATAATAATAATAATGTGGATGTTACTAATGTTGAGGGCACTGTTGACAAATGTCTACCAGAGTGTGAATTCCAAAAGCAATATAAAATTCGTCAGCCCACCCATCCACCCATCGACCTGACTGTTTAAAATTTCATCTTAAAAGTTGTCTTGGGACCTTATCCAGTCTTGATGTGAGGGGTTTTGTTCCTGGTCTTGTTTTTATCTTGTTGTGCCATGCTGAGTTGGGAGGCCTGCTCTTTTCTGGAGGAATAAGGGGAGGGATAAATAGATCTAGAGGAGATTGGAGGTGTGTGTGGGGGAAGACTGAGAGGCATCGAGGGAGGGGAAGCTGTGCTAGGAGTGTATCTTATGAGAGAAGAATCAATAAAAGTTAAAAACAAAATTTTAACTGTTCCTCTGATTTACCCTTGTTGTCCTTTCTTGGCCTCTCACTTATTATACATGTCCTTTGAGCTTTGGCGTGGCATCCTCAAAACTCTACCAACGATAGGGGGCATGCCTTTTCTGTCCTCTCGTCTCTATGCCCATCATGAACTTTTGCATTTACTACAATGAAACAGTAATGAGTAGAAGACCTGTGGTTGCATAATTAAGTCATTTGTCTTTCTCCTAAACACTAGTTAGAGATGGCGTCTGGAATCGTAAATACATAGCATTACGTATTGGAACAAATATACGTCACTTGTTGTAAATAAATGTTTTTGAAAAACCTAAGTGAAATGACACACTGGATTTGAAATGTTATGCAACAGCCGGATCATTTTCATGACGGTACACACATACACATTGTCCTAGATCTGTCCTGAGCCCCTAAATTGCTGCCTCTTCAAGTGATGTTTTTAATTATTAATTTATTGAGCTGTGAGTGGACACTCAGTGTTGGAACCACAGAGCTAACAACAAACACTCTTCTTGTCCACACACTGACTGCTGTGTGTATTTTGGATGATGATGATGTATGTACTTGATGTTTTTCGAATAGCTGGACGGTGTGTTATGACATGCCACGCAGCATGCAGATGTATTTTCACTATCAATTCCTATGATTGAGAGCAAATGTTACATGCCCCTAAGGTTGCCTGTGGGAATCTCTTTCCTTTTTTACCCCCCATTTAGTCAGAGATCGAGTAGCACAGTTTCTTTCACAGAGCCAGCCGGTCTTAGAAAATTCTTCAGGGAATCCTGTGGCCATTTCTGTTTGCGAGCTCTGCTGACTCCTCAGAGGATGCTGCTCCACTAGCATCGCATGCCTGGAGCACTCACACCCTTCTGTTGATGGGCCGTGTAACATAAAGGGCCCTAACCATTTCATTTCCCTGTCTCCTTGACTGTTGCAAGGAAGAGCAGTGTGGCTTCTACCGCCTTTGCCCGCTTCACGTCTCTCAAGTGACTTGTGTGGTCAATCCAGCACCCTCCCGTGGTACCCTTGAGTGAGATCCTGAACTCTTTACACACATCAAGTTCTTCTCCAGCTGCTGTCGGTTTTGTTTGGAAGACGTTATTGCTCCTGTCCTCCCTTAAGCCCCAGCCTGTGCCCGTGCCGGTGCAGGTGCTGTGCGGTAGTTTCTCTGTCAGCTCACTTTGCGCAAGGTTTCCAGTCTGTTCTGCAGGGTGTGTGCACACTCCCTAATGTCTCAAACACAACTGTATTTGCATCCGCCTCTTACATAACTTCGCTAGGGAGGACAGAAAGAAAAACTGGCCTAGCAAAAGGGTGAATAAATAACGGCAGCGAAGCCCAGTTGTGAATTTCATCATCAAGAAATAATGCAATTGCGTTTCCCCCCTAACACGTGATGGTAAAGACTCAGCTTTGGCTCTTCCTGACGCATCGCTTTTTCTTATGCGATTGTTGTGAGACACAGTACACTAAGATAGC